TATGCGTATACACACGTATATACACACATTTATATATATAGTGATGTGTCGCTTAACACCCAGGGTACATTCTGTGAAATAGGATGTTAATTTGGACATTGTGCGAACACCATATTATGGATGAAGGGCCTTTCAGCATTTGCTTCCAGAATAAAGAGGTTTTGTCCATATTAAAAAATTGCTGGGGCAGATAACCTCCTGTATAATTAGTTTATCTAAGGTTTCAGCAAATTCTTCTGCTGCCCTCACATCAGCACTCCCAGACTCATCACGCACTTGCACATTACGCAGCAAAGAATGTTTGAAGTGCCTGAACCACCCAGAGCTAGCACTGAACTCAGTATCCTAGTCTGGTCCTGCTGTTTCTTTAAGCATCTTGAATAAGCTTCATGCCTTAGCAGTGATCTTCAGCGTGCTGAGAGGGATTTGCTTTTGTGTTTGGTCCTCAATCCATGTCATTAGCGATTTCTCCGTATCTGATACAGGTCCCTCTCACATTTTCATTACTTTGTGGTTTTCATTGGAGCCGATCCTTTAACAGCTTGGATAATTTTTTCTTTGTTTTTGAGGATTGTCTTGATTGTAGAGTGTGACATGCCTAAATCCTACTACATCCCATTCTCTGATTGGGATGTTTTGAACTCTCTTATAACCTTACGGGACCATGGACATACATATATGCAGTCGGACATTGCCCAAATGGACGTATATAGTTTAAACCAGTCTTCAGTTTCTAACTGCAGTTTTTCAAAGAAGAGAAAAATCTTTTTAAGTCGCTATTTTAAAAGTTCACATTCTAGGAAATTTCGACCCTTTGTCTCCTAAATCGGGCTAGCCACCTGTGCTCAGCAGATGCTCCATCGGGAGTAGGGGGCCGAAAGATGGGTGGGCGTGACATCCACTGGCTGCAAGGATCTGGATGAGGGGTGGTGGGAGGCAGAGCAAGCAGGATAGCTGAACGTGCCCAGATTGGAGGCCCCACTGTCAGCAGATGGAGAGTAGTAGAATAGATGCTTATGAGCATAAATGTGCTAATTGATTATTCAAGTCTCCTTTTGAAGCTTTATATGTTAAACATGCTTTTCTCATCTGCTTTCCTCAGTTTTGCAAACTGGCTGACCCAGACTGCTTTCATCGTATATTCAATAGCACTTAAAAAAAATCACCGTTCTGCTGAGCGTCTGAGTCCCCAGTTCTGAAGCAGGCTCTGGGTTTGAATTCATGGAGTAGCATTTGGTTCTTTCTCTTCTCTGTCCTTACAGTCTAGCCAGCTGCTGTGTTCACATGTTTTGATCTACTGAGCATTTAAAGGCTCAGTCACTGGACTGGCTGCTGTGGTCGTCTTAGAGTGCCGTAGCCAGCTTCTGTTGTCATCCACCAAGTGTCAGTCCGTGTACTAGATGTAGTTTCCCTGTGCTGCCATACCAGGCTGTATTTTTCAAGGTCGTAAAAACAAAACAAAAAACTGGTTGCTGTCGAGTCACTTCCGACTCATGATGAACCCATGTGTGTCCGAGTAGAACTGTGCTCCATAGAATTTTTGTTTCAATGGCTGATTTTTCAGAAGTAGATCACCAGTTTCATCCCAGGTGCCTCTGGGTGTACTCGAACTACCAACCTTTCGGTTGGCAGCGAGTTCATTAACCATTTGCACCACCCAGCAACTCCTCAAGATGGTAATAGGTGCGTATAGGTGGTGGGGGTGGGGAGGCGCCTAGTGGAGTAGACGTATGAGTTTGGGAAATGGACATGCTAGCTGTCCTCATGCACATCGCACGTCCTCACGTTAAAGGCTCTCCGAGATTCTGTTCTGTAGGTACCTGTGGAACTTTGATGCCAGACTTGACCATAGGACTCCTCGTATATATGGAATACCTGTTAACATCATCTTCCTTGGGTTGGTCTCTGAATAGGGATTGTGGTATTGGGTTCAGACCCTTTGGGTGTTCAGCCTTTCAGAAAGCCATTCAGGGAAAAGCTTACCTGACTTTTGATTCTAAGATTGCCATCTAATAAATGATAGAAAAATGATGCTTGCACAGAAGTCCCCCAAACCATGGCCAGGATTGATCTCACCATTAGGCTCCTTTCAGTGAATTTGGATGCACAGAATCCGTCCTTCCCTGTGGAATTAGAACTCGGTTACATTTTTTCAGATAAGTGTGATTCATGCCCTCTGAGGATACTTCCATAAATTATAAGTTCCTTAGTTTGAGTTACAGACATATATGAAACTTCTTGAATGTTTCTCTTTATTGGTTGTTTTAAATATTGGAGTTAAGTATATTTTAATAGTTGTTTTGATACAGTAATTAGTCTGCCACTTCCTGCTCTTTAGTTTGTGAAGTATTACAGAATTAAAACTTGTGTTCACCTTGTTATAAACATTTTAACCTTTTCTGAAGAATATGTTGTTACTCTTCTTTGTTTTGGATGTTTTGCCCTGGCCATTGTCCAGGGGCAATTAATTACTGACTTGACTTGATAATTTATTAATGATGATGGTTAACCTAAGTCAATTCATATTTGAAAAGGGTTTACAGTAATCTGTTCATTGGTATTAAATACATTCATGGAAGAAGTTAGAGAATAGAAATCAAGAATACTCAGAATCACCCATCCTGACCTAATTTGTAGACTATAAATTATAGACTGTTTCACCCAAGAAATATGCCTAAGTAATTATTTACACATACACATTTATATAACATATGAGAGGGACAAGGATAAAGTAATTTTATTACCACTTTTATTTTCTTGATAATATTAGTAAGGCACCATAAAGAGGGTAATGAAAATACTGTCCTGTACTTGCTTTGGATTTAGTCATGTTTGAAGCCCTCAGAGACCAGGTGCCATCAGATGACCTGCAAACTGATTTCATGCTCTAAGGTTTGCATGATGACAAGACTTTAGTGTCTCACATATTCTGGATATGTTATCAGGGGGAATCGGTCCCTGGATAAGGACGTCATGCTTGGTAAGGTAGAGAGTCAGCGAAACAGAGGAAGACCCTCAACAAGATGGATTGACACAGTGGCTGCAACAATGGGCTCAAACACAGCAACGATTGTGAGGATGGCGCAGGACTGGGCAGTGTTTCATTCTGTTGTACGTAGAGTCACTGTGAGTCGAAACCAATTTGACGGCACCTAACAACAAGGGAAGCTAGACACGTGGATTCAGATGTGCGCCGGGAAAATTAACTAGGATGCCCGAAACAAACAGTGCGGGACATTGTGCCTCAGGGCCACTCCCCAGACCTTGGGCAATGGAGTCCCCACAGGAGCTCATTTAAAATACTGGTTCCTGGGTCAGCCCCATCCTGCCTGAGCAGTATCTTCTGGAGGCCGAGTCAGGAATCAGCCCTTTGAGGAAGTTTGAGAACTCACTATTTGAAAAATCAAAACTCAAGTCAGAACATAAGATTTGTTCTGAGCAGTTATTCTCTGTGTATATACGGAGACCATTCTGATTCTAAAAAAAGCAAATAATTGGAAGTAGACTAGTTACAATGAGGTATACAAAGAGAAGCAGAGGGAGGAGAACAGACTATCAAACACTGGCTAATCTTAACAGGATTGGTTGAACCCTTCCCTCCCCTTTTTCTTGAGATCAACTGATACCAGGTCACAAGCTAGTCTCTGGCCCTCTACCCACCAGTAGCCATAATACCTTTTGAAAATTTAGATTATGTAAGCTGGCTCCCAACTGGAAAGAAAAGGTTAGCAATTTGAGGAGAAGAAAAGCCGCTGGTAGGATTAATTTTGAGTCAGAAATTTTGACAGTTAGTATTTGGTTTCATGGGTAAGAAAAAAAATCTTAAAATCAAAATAAGATAGACGTCTGTTTTTAATTCTTCTCTTTGACGTCACTTAACTCACGACTGGAAATGCATTAATGTCATTTGAGATGGACAATCAACTATATGTTAAAAATAATAAAAACTCAACAAAATCTGAACATAATGTTTATTCTAAGCGGTTATTCTGTATGCATATAGGGAGACCACTTTGATTCCAGAAAAAGTAAATTGCTTGAAGAAGCTAGGCACAATAAGGATTGTAAAGAGATGTTGTTATTGTTAGGTGAGGTTGAGTCGGTTCTGACTCTGGCGACCCTGTGTACAATGGGACGAAACAGTGCCCGGTCCTGTGCCATCCCCACAGTCATTGTTATGTTTGAGCCCATTGTTGCAGCCACTGTGTCAGTCCATCTCATTGAGAGTCTTCCTCTTTTTCACTGACCCTCCAGATTACCAAGCATGATGTCCTGCTCCAGGGACTGGTCCTTCCTGCTAACATGTCCAGAGTACATGAGATGAAATTTCACCATCCTCGCTTCTAAGGAACATTCTGTTTGTACTTCTTCCAAGATAGATTTGTTCTTTTGGCAGTCCATGGTATATTCAGTATTCTTCATCAACACCGTAATTCAAATGTATCAATTCTTGTTGGGTTTTCAATTCTTACTCATTGTCCATCTTTCATATGCATATGAGGCAATTGAAAATACCATGGCTTGGGTCAGGTGCACCTTAGCCCTTAAAGAGAAGAAGATGGACAAATATAGAAGATCAACCATTGGCTAACCTTAACATGATTGAACCCCGCCCTTCCCCTTTTACTGAGGTGGATGGATACCAGTTCACAAGATAGTCTCTAGCCCTCCACCCAGCCTTGTCTTTTAAAATTCAAATGTAGTAAGCCTGACTTTGAACAGGAAAGAAAGGATTTGCAGCTTTGGGTTAAAGAAAAGCTGTTGGCAGATTAATTTTGATCAGGGATTTCTTTAAAGTGAATATTTGGTTTCATGAGTTAAGAAAACCCCAAAATCAAAGCAAGATGTCTTCTATCATTTTCTCTTCGAAACATGTTATAGTCTAAGACTCTCTCTTAACTCTCCTGATTTTCGGAATGATGTTAAAAAACAGTCACTTCTCAGTAAAATTGCCATTGATTTAAGTAATCTTTTCTTTCCTTTTTTTTTAAATTTCCAAGTACATGAGCAACGTGGATTCCTGGTGCAAAGCCTGCGGTGAGGTTGAGCTTCCCTCAGAGTTACAGGACCTGGAAGATGCCATTCATCACCACCAGGGGATATATGAGCACATCACTCTTGCTTATTCAGAGGTAAGTGGCCAGTTTTTACTTTAATTGTAAGTTTTTACTTTAATTTTTGCATTATAGTACCAAAAACTGGAAAAATCAAAGTTTTGGCTAACCCGGAAAAACTATAGATTCTGAAGTAAAATTGCAGTTTAATTGTAAATTTTGAATTTGTGTGTGTGTGTGTGTGTGTGTGTGTGTGTGTGTGTGTGTGTGTGTGTGTGTATGTAGGGGAGCAGGTAAAGCAGGATGGTGGGTAGTGAGCACACTTCTCATGGCTCTGTGACATGTGTGGATTTCCTTTAGAATGCTTATTTTTTCATCTGCTAAAAGAAACTCCTAGATTCCAGTCTTGTCTACATGTACTTCACCACCACACCACCAGGTACCATCAGTCAGTTCCGTTTTGCGGCAACCCATGGGTGTCAAAGTAGAACTGCACACCATAGGGTTTTCAATGGCTGGTTTTTTTGGCAGTAGATTGCCAGGCCTTTCTTCTGAGGCACCTCTGGGTGCATCAAACCTCCAACCTTTTGGTTAGCAGCCAATTACTTTACTGTTTGGGTCCCCAGGGACTCCTCTCCATATGCTTAGGAAATAGTATTTTCTGTGCTGTTCTCTCTAGTCAAAACTTGACTTAATCCTCCTAAATGAAGCTTTGTAGGAAAGGGAATCCTCAATGCCCCCTCATGTTCTGAGGTTGCCTTTTCACAAAGCACACACTGTTTTCTCAAGTATATAAAGCTATTTACAATGTGATTTAGAATCTAAGTGTAATTTTCTTTATTATTTTAGGATGAATTATTTCATCTCCCCTGTTTTTATTTTCTACCACCTTTTCGTGTGCCAGGAAGTGTTCTTAGGACTTTACATAACTTACTAAATGGTTACAACAACCCGGAGGCACGTAGCATGTTTGTCCCTGTTGTTACAAATGAGGAAACTGAGGCACAGGGATTGGTCGGGGGAGATGTGGGGATACACACCGAGGCAGCGTGGCTCCAGATGCCGAGTTCTTAGTCCCCACTCTCCGTTGTCTCTGTTATGACGTGCCCAGCGTGTGGTGGCCACGGTAGGGTGATGACTACAGATACGCTGATGAGCGTCACCCTTGCCCACATCTTGGTGATCTGGCCCTTCAGACCAGTCTGTCTTTATGCTAACGGTTAAGTTCCTGGAAGTGAGCGGGGATGGGTAGCAAATTCGGTGTGTGCTTACTTTTCTGCAGGGTTACTCCATTCCCTGTTAATATTAAGCATCTGTAATATCGTAGGAGTCCCTGGGTGGCACAGATGGTTAAGCCCTGGAGTATTAACCGAAAGATTGGCAGTTCAAACCCACCCAGAGATACCGCAGAAGTAAGGCCTGGCAATAGGCTTCAGAAAGGTCCCAGCCCTGAAGATCCTGTGGAGCACAGTTCTACTCTGACGCACAGAATCGACTGGGTGACAACGAACAACAACAAAAACATCGTAGGTTAATATGAATTATTCCTGTGAGGTTTCAGGAAGAAGATGTTTGTAAGCACCTTGCGAACTGCTGGGCACGTAACAAGATGCAGTCAATAAATATTTGCTGGATTTAAATCTAACTCTTCCTTGATTCGAACCATATCCGTACTTCTTTTCTGCAAGTCACAGGGAGGAGATTGGCCATAAGTTTTCAGTCTGACACATCTTGTCGTGCTTCACCAGACAGCTGTCACTCTGCTGTCCTTGGACCCAGGCTACCCGACCGCTTTGTGCGCACGGGTGAGATAAGTGGATGTGTGACATGTACTGCTGTATTTGCTTCACAGTGTGCTCAGACTCCATCTTCCCATGAAGGTGATATTTACATGTTTCTTTCTTTAGCCTTCTCTGTGCCTCCTTTTTTCTAGCACTGTTTCCTGTTGCCGATGGAAATAAAAAATTAGTCAACTTTGTATTATGTTTCTTAATTTTATATCCAGTGTTTATTTGCTAATTTGGTTATTTAGTTTATTTAGAAACTGTTAGAGTAAGTGATAGCCTTTTTTATAGTAAAACTGAAAATCGAACAGATTCGTAATTTTTTTAATCTTTTTTTTTTTTTTAGTTTTTAAATTTTGTTGTGTAGATTTGTAATTTTTTATAACATTGATTGATTAGGATTACGTGAGTTCCAGAAATCATTAAATTATTTTCCCTAGTCTGCTATCTTTGTGCATCGTCTGATTTCCGACCCATGCTATAGAAAGTGAATGGCCCTATAATCCATTACATATAAAGGGGCCAGCACTCATCTGCTTGGATTGATGATTTCTATTGAGCTGCATTTTGATTGCAGTGTTCAGCTTGGATCCAACCATTTTTGGGCCCTTGCCAGGCCAGTGTGGGAAAGAAAGCCCTCATTCATACCATGAATGACGGACGTGGGGTTACAGTCTCCACGTATGGGACCAAGGGAGAAAGTACATGACTTCCATCAGGGTTAACTTGACCTGACCAGTGTGATCCTCCAGCCAAGCTGGCCAGTCCAGACTGCCTGTTGCCCTTGGCCCTTCTAGCTAAGTACTGAAGTCTCTAATTGTTACCACTACCTTCTATAAAAATGTGAGGCGTGTTGACATGGGAACCTAAGTTTATCTATGTTGTGATCTCATTCGATTTTAAGTTGATACTAATCATTTAAAATAAATTGATGGGAAATGAACAGCTTTCCAAGCTGAGGTCTTAAACTACAGTTTTCAGCCTAAGAACACATTTACATCTGAGCCATAAACTCAAGGAGACAGGAATTTGAACTGCCTAAACTGACAGGACTTTCAACAGAACAGAACGCGTTTCTTTTGGGCTTTTTAAAGTTTAAAATTTTGCAGTAGTTTCAAGCCTACAGAAAAGTTGGTGAGAATAGCACAGAGAACTCCCCATTCCCTTTACTTGGACTTCCCAGTTTTTAACACTTGACCTCATTTGCTCTGCCCTCTCTCTCTCCCCACCTCTCTCTCCAGTCAATAAGAGAACACTGATACAACATGACCATCCAGTCCACAGACCCCATGTGTATTTTCCCAGCTGTTCCAGCAATGCCTTTCTTCCTTTTTGGTCCAGCATGCTGTCCAGCAACACGCACATCATTTAGTTGTCACATCCTGTTGGTCTTCAAAATGGAGCATTCTTTAGTCTTTCCCTGCTGTTCATGTCCTTGGCAGTCTTAAGGAACGCAGGCCTTCCATTCTATAGGATGACCTCAACCTCCTGGGTCTATCCGGTTTTCCTCGTGGCCTGACTCAGGCCATGCGTTCTGGGCAGGTGTGCTGCAGAAATCATGCTGGGGTCTTCTCAGTGAGCCACGTCAGGGCCACACACAGCTGACCCATTGACCACCGGTGATGTTAACCTTGATCACTTTGTCTGGTTACTGTTTGCCAGGTTCCTCCAATGTAAACTCACCATTTAAAAAATTGGTCTTGGATTAGCATTTTCTGGGGAGATATTCTGATATAACTAACCCCAAAGTCTGTTCATCATAACAGACTTCCTCTCACCGGCTTTAGCATCTACTGACAATTCCTGCCCGTCTCAACTACCACTATGAAGCTATCTATGATCATCTATTTCCATCATTCCTTCTGTACTTAGTTTGCCTTCTACCATAAAGAACAGCTTTATTTCCCTCTGCCCCCATTTATTTATATCAGTATGGACTTAAGAAATCTTGTTATATTCAGTGGGTTGTAATCTAATGCTCTCATTATTTTGATGCCAAAATTACCCAGATTTGGCCAGTGGAAGCCCCTTCAATCTGGTTTCTGTGTCTTTTTTTTTTTTAAATTGTGATTTAGGTGAAAGTTTACAGAGCAAATTAGTTTCTCATTCAAAAATTTATACACACAAAGGTCATGGATGCTCCATAGACACATCCAAACTCCCTGAGGGACTGAATTGCTGGGTGGAGGGCTGTGGGGATCATGGTCTCGGGGAACATCTAGCTCAATTGGCATAACACAGTTTATAAAGACAGTGTTCTGCATTCTACCTTGGTGAGTAGCATCTGGGGTCTTAAAAGCCTGTGAGCAGCCATCTAAGATACTCCACTGGTCTCACCCCTTTGTGAGCAAGGGAGAATGAAGAGAACAAGATACAAGGAAAAGATTAGTCCAAAGGACTAATGGACCACAGCTACCAAGGCCTCCCCGACACTGAGTCCAGTACAGCTAGATGGTGCCTGGCTACCACCACTGACTGCTCTGACCGGGATCACAATAGAGGGTCCTGGACAGAGCTGGAGAAGGATGTAGAACAAAATTCTAACACACAAAAAAAGACCAGATTTACTGGCCTAAAGGAGACTGGAGAAACCCCGAAAGTATGACCCCCAGACACCCTTTTAGCTCAGTGGTGAAGTCACTCTGAGGTTCACCTTTCAGCCGGGGATTGGACAGCCCTATAAAACAAAGTGGGACTAATGAGGCACAGCAGTCCAGGGACAAGGACTAGAAGGCAGAAGGGGACAGGAAAGCCAGTGATAGGGAACTAAAGGTTGAGTAGGGACAGTGTTGACATGTAGTGGGGTTTTTAACCATTGTCATAGGGCAATATGTATACTAAGTGTTTAATGAGAAACTGTTTTGTTCCGTAAACCTTCATCTAAAGTGAAAATAGCAGCACAACTGGAAGATGTCACTGAATTGTACATGTAGAAATTTTTGAAATGGTATATCTTTGGCTATGTATAATTTCACCAAAAAACAAAAAAAAATGTCCTCCAAGGTCAAGAAGGGAGAGTGTTGACATGTTGTGGGGTTGTTAACCAATGTCATAAAACAATATGTGTACTGACCGTTTAATGAGAAACTATTTGTTCCGTAAACCTTCACCTAAAGTACAATTAAAAAAAAAAAATTTATACACAAATTGTTTCATGGCATTGGCTGCAGTCCCGCATTGTGTCAGCACTTTCCCCTTCCCCTTTCCCTTTTCACTCTGGGTTCATCTTGTCCGTTTGTCCAGTTTTCCTGTCCCCTGCCACCTTCTTGTCTTTGTTCCTGGGCTGATGTTGCC